GGGCTCCGTCCTGCCCTCACCGACGACCCCCATATAGGAATCCTCGTCAATCGGCAGCTCCTTGAAATCCTGCACGGCCTGCTTTAACCTTTTCATCACGTTTTTGTGATGCTCAGCCCCCAGGTGGCCTGGCAAGTAATCCGTCTCCAAGGAGTTTAGCGCCTCCACGACCTTTGTATCACATATGACACAACCCAAGGCAGGAAGCAGGCAGCTGGCCAGCGCTCCTACCAGGAGGGAAAGCCGCGGCCCCATTGAGGCCGGAGCGCTCAATCTGCGCAGATCCCTGGGAAGAGTCCTCTCACCCCGAGGAGGTGAGCGCTAAATGAAGAGATGCCCTACCCCGAGACTAATGGACCCCCAATTTGCAGGGCGCACAATTCTCGTTAGGGAACCGAGGAGTCCCGATGCACCCTGAACAGACGCTGCCGATCTCCAGAGGCTTGTAACCTCAAACAGTAGGGTTCGCCGAAGAGCTGAGTCCAGGTTCCCAGGGCTTTGAGAGAGGAAGACCGAGCCACACCCTTCCACTCTACTACTTTCCCACTACTGAAATTAAAGATTTTGTTAGAGGCGAGGGTGAGGTTGGTTGCGCAGTATAGAGATTTGACTGGGGCCAAAGTCACAGTTCGCTTCCATCTACAAGGTAACTCCCACAGCCTCCGCCTTCAATCTAGCTTCCTACTTGGTGCCCGAAATTCCCAAGAGATGTTACGTGAGGGGCTTCCTTGGCCCCGCCCAGGAGCCCAACTCTGAGTCTGATTGGACCACAACAAAGGAGTCCCCGCCTATCGCGCTTTGATGTCACAGAGGCGGTCGGCTTTTCATATCCGAACTTCCTCAGCATCGATAGAAGTGTCTATAGAAGTACCCTATCTGCTCCAGCTTTCCAGAAACAAGGGATGGAATTCTGGACTCCAGCTTGCTCCCTTCTGTGGGCCCCGGGACCCAGGCTTCCGGCTAGATGCCCACGACCCCAGACATAGAGATAGGAGGAAGCTAAAAGTGGCCATTCCCAGCCCTAGGACTACGACTCCCAGAAGGCTGCGGATCTCTCCCTAGCAGAGAACCACAGCCAACCCCGTGGCATTGTGGGAAATGTAGTCCAAGAGTTCTACTGTGAGGGGGCGTGGCGTATGAGGGCAAATGGTAATGGAAAAAATACAATAACAAATACATAAAAAAAGAATTATACTGTGTGCTGACTTCTTGCTCCACCTTCTCTCCCAGCCTCGGCCTGAATGTCAAGGTCCCAGAGGAAAGTGAGGTCCGGAGGCCAATAGTGAGAGACGAGAAAAGAACTGGGGTCCAGAGGCAAGTGTGGCAACAAGAGGCTGCCAGATCTAAGCAAGGAGAATACCCCAACACATGGGCCATGAGTGTCCCTGGAAGTTGTGCACTTTTCCTCCTTCTGACACACACACACACATTCATGTGCGCAAGCCCCCAAAAATCCACAGACGGGTTGGTGATGTGGACTTTTAAGTCATACCTCCCTCTCTCCCCCTTATGGCAGCTGAGTAGTGAACAGTCGCTCAAAACTCCTCGAGAGGACTACAAAAGGGGCTTAGATTCTTAGACAATTTTGTAATAAATATATCTACCTTCACCCCCCTTCAAAAAGCATCAAGGGAATCCTAAAACCTTAGTCAAGAATCCTATCCTCCTTGGCCAAGGGTCCTCCTGCTGGGGTATGAGGTTAATCCAGGGTCTGCATACCCCCAAATCTTCCCATCCCTCACTGCCAAAGCCAGCTGTCACTAAGTTCCGTGAATTCAGGGGCAGACAGACAGTGATTAGGTACAGTACCAGCAGCTTTCTGCAAGTCCAGAGGACACGTTTATGCCAGCTGGCTTCCAGAAAACCCATCATCTCCCCCAGCAGCTCAGCTGCAGAGGATGAAACATCCTTAATTTAGAGAGGCAACCCAAGCTCAGAGCCAACATGGGCAGTGCCTGCCTTCTGTAGTTTTTTTAAAGATTTTATTTATTTATTTTTAGACAGAGGGGAAGAGAGGGAGAAAGAGAGGGACAGAAACATCAATGTGTGGTTGCCTCTCACACGCCCCCTACTGGGGACCTGGCCCACAACCCAGCCATGTGCCCTGACTGGGATCAAACCCAGTCAGACCCTTTGGTTCGCAGGTCTGCACTCAGTCCACTGAGCCACACCAGCCAGGGCTTGTCTTTGGTAGTTTTTGAGCTTAAAAAACAAGTCTCCTTAAATTTCTGGAAAGCCTTGCTTCAGAAGCTGCAGCATTTCTGCAGCCATCCCTCTCTTCCACCTCCCACATTTTAGCCTATCTGCTGGAATAAGCTAAATAAAGTCTTTGTGAGGTTTTTTTCAGGGGCTGAGAAGTTGGAAAATTTCACTCTTCTCAGAAACTGCCCTAACAACACACAGTTTGCCTTGCATCAGTCTTTCTGCCAGTGGTGACGTGTTGAGCTTCTGGCTGTACCTATACTCAACTCTTCACCGATGTTCTCCGGAACTCCAGGACCCCCACCGCTCTGGAAGAGCCCTGCAGGGTTTGCCACTCTCTAGAGCAAGCCCCCCCCCCCCCCCGCCATCTAGAACCATTCCAGAAACACAGAAGGGGAGCTGGCTAGTGCTTGCTTTAAAACACCCATGAGTTCCTGCAGTCCTGAGGGCCTAAGAAAGAGAAACATCTCTTCGGTAAAAGACCTCAACAGTCAACACTAGAGGGAGTAGTTTCTGATTCTTGAGCTCTCTGCCATCTAGATATCCTCTGCCGTCTAGAAGTACTACAGTCATCTAGAAGTACTCTGGATATGTGCTGGGAAGAACAGGTGGCCATTGTGCCTTGCAGAACTGTCATGAGTTTCCTCAGACATTGCCAGCCATCGGGAACATACTTTCTGCTGGTTCTAGAGTGCTCAGGCAGTCGCTGAAAGCCTCTCTTTCTCTGAAATTCTAGCCAACTAGAATTACTCTAGAAATGGGTGCCTGTCTGCTGCAGGACCGCCAGTAGCTCCTCGGCCTCTGGAGACCCGTGACGCTGGCTCTGGATGGGTCAGACTATTCCAAAAAAACTCCTCTGCAATTTCCGGACCGGGGACAAGTCGGCGTTAATGCCCACCCACTCAGGCAGGAAGGCGGCCTCGGGCTTGAAGATGTCGAGGAAGCTGGAGTCGGGCAGGGTGAAGTTAGCCAGGTAGACGGTGTCTCCACCAGCCAGGTAGGCGGCCCAGAAACCAAAAGTGCCGATGGTCATGACAGTGTGGTTGCACTGCATGAGCAGCGCAAAGTCCCGGCCTGGGGAGCCCTCCTGCCCGTCTCCAGCGAAGATCACATCCCCCTGGGAAGTGTCCACATTCTGCCGGCACCACTCCATGCCGTTGCTGGTGACCACGAAGACGGGGGCTACGTGCCGGGCCCGGAACCAGTCCATGGCCTGCTGGAGGTAGGCGCGATCGCCCACCACACCCTTCCAGTGATAGGGCATCACCTCCAGATAGTCCCCACGGCGCACGTGGACGCCCACAAAGGTGCTCGGGGTGGCCCCAGTGCCGGGCAGGCGGAGCCGCCTCAGGAAATCCTGGGCCTGGTCCCGAAGGTGGTCGTGCAGGGTGAACTCCCTCCGGATCTGATCCCGGACATGGTGGAAGAAGGTCCAGGAGCAAGGGAAGCCCCTGAGCTTCAGCAAAGGCTGCTGCAAGTGGGCGTACTCCTCCGCCATCCAGTCGTTCAGGTCCAGCGTCTGCCAGGGCATGTCTCTGTCCACCTCGGGCGCCAGCACCGGCAGGGTGATACGGAACACGGGGGCCAGGGTGGCGTGCATGGCGGGCAGGATGAAGGCCTGGCGGCCGTTGAGCTGGGCCAGGGCCAGCAGAGTGGCATACTGCCCCATCTGGTTACCAAACCGGCCATCCGGGGAGATGGTCCAGGTTCCTGAGAGGGAGGCGGGGTGCACGAGACAGGGAGACGAGGTGTTGGCGCTCACCCGAGTGCCGGACAGGCAGAAGATGGCCACGGGGCCTGTCGCCCGGCGTCTGCCCCTGAACAGGACGGGCAGGTCCAGGACGTTGTGAAAGAGGTCTTGCGAGAGGTGGAGGAAGGCAATCGACGCAAGAACACAGGCTAGCAGGAAGGTCAGACAGAGGGGCCGGCGGCTGAGGGTCCCCATGGCTGCAGGGCAGAAAAAATGAGTGAGCAGAAGCTCGGAGCCTGAGGGAGGCGTTGGGAAGGAGAGGTTGGAAGGAATGAATGAAGGGCCTCAGGGTTTGGACTCTGGGTCTCAGGGAAAAGGGGATCATGGTCCAGGACTCCTGGATCTGAGGGAGGAGAAGCTGGAGGTTTGGAATTTGGGGGTGTGGGGATGCAGATGGTGAAAAACGGTTGTTTCCAAGAGAGCAATAGTGCAGGATTCCACACCTGCGCCCCCACCTTGCAGTCCAGTCTCACTGCCCTGCCCGTGAGGCCCACCGAAGCTGGGTGGTGTTCCACCAGCTCCTTTCTCACGTGTACCTCTGGATGAGGAATCGAATCCGCCGAGGAGGGGACAGGAAGCCACAGGCCACAGAGAAAGTGAGCGGCTGGAGGGCCAGGGTTGATAAGGGATCTTGATCTTGGGTGGAGCAGTAGCAGGGCAGTGAGGATGAAGGTCACTCCTCGGGTCATAAAAAGAGGTTGGGAGTGCAACTGCTGGGGGTGGGGTATCCGCCCTTCCCACTAACCTGAGCTCCTGGAGGGTGGCGGGTACCCACTCCCCGTGGCGTGGCCCCAGCCAGCTGTCCTCAAGAGCAGTCTACACCCGGCAGCCCCCGAACCGCGGACTCCAGGTTCCCGGGACCCGCCGGCCTGCGCTCCACGCCTCCTCGCTCAATTGGCGGCCAGGGCTCTGTGATCCAGCGAGCTGGGAGCGGTCTACTGGTTCACAGCTTCTACCTCTCCCCCGCCAGGCAGGTAGGGGTGAGGCAGAGCCCCGCCCCTTCCTGCCAGGGCCCCCCCCACCCCCCCACCCCGCTATCCCAGCCCCCTTCTCCCCGGCCCTGGCCAGCCCGGGGGCCAGGCTGGCCACCCAGGACACGCATCCGTCGCTGGACCTGGAGATCCAGCGCCCAGATGCTATGCCGGACCCGGCGATCCGTCAACCTCTCCCTCTTCTCCGCTGCCTGGGCTTACTTTGTCTTCCGTGTCTCTGGATGCGCCCAGCCCGGCCTCCGACTTTGGGTGGGGCCCGAATCAGGTCCGGAGAGGCAGGGCGGGGAGCGGTGCAGTTCTCACCCGACCACATCCTCCCCTGGAGGCGGGAAAACCTGTTTGCCGGGCTGCTGCAGGAGCGGATGCAGAGCCTCCTCCAGCTCTGAGAGTTCGACCTGAAGGTGTCCCCGTGCCCACTGGGGACCCCCGCCCCTGGCCAGAGTCACGGCCCCCAAGCCTCTCGTTTGAGGAGATTTTAGGGTCTGGCCCCTAACTCCCCAGAGGGGCACATCTCGAGGCAGCCCCTCCTGAGGACCCGAAGAAACAAGCACCGTGGATGTCACTCTTCCTTCCTGGACCTGGCCAGAGTCCAGCGGGGGAAAGGACGACCTCAGCTGCCCCACGAAATCAATGCGGTTTCCCCCTGCTGGAGGCAGCTGCCCACCTCACCCACCCAGCCCCAGCAGTCGGAACCAGACACTCCGGAATTTGCTGGGACTCTCCAGGCCCTTGATCATAACTCCTCCACACGCAGGGCTGGGTCTGGGGGTCCTCAGACTGAGAAGAGTCCTGGCCTCCCGCCCTTGGGTCTCACTGTGACCACCAGGTGGGGGGTGCAGGGGGCAGGGGGACTGGCCCTGAACTCGTCTGCCTAGGGTGGGCAGGCAGCACGTGGGGTCTTGACTTTGTGTAGGAAAGCTTCCACATCACGAGTCCCGGTGACTAGGAGGGAACGTTTATTAAAGCTGGGGCCAGTGAAACGAGGAAGGGCTTCGGATAGAGGGAGCAACCGGAGAGGGACCAGGTAGGGAAATGAGCCTGGGCTGGGCTGCTTTGGCTCACTAGGAAACCAGAGAAAAGGGGGACTTGGGGCCCTGGCAGGGTGGCTCAGTCGGCTGCAGCAGCATCTCCGTGCACCAAGGTTGCAGGTTGGATCCCCGGGCAGCAGATGCAAGGGCTGACCGATGAATGCATGCACAGGTGGAGGGCAGGTCAGTGTTTCTCTCTCTCCCTCTCTCTTTCTTCCTTCCTTTCTCTCTAAAACCAATTTTAAAAATTTAAAGGGGGTCTGGGGGCTTGGAGCAGGGTTGGGGGCGAGCCCAGGAGGAGCTGCTGCCGCCCATTGCTCCCTCGTTGCAAGCCTCTTGGGGGCCCTGGAGCTTAGGAGATGCTGCCTGTGGGAGAGTGACAGGGGAGAGGGGAGGGGGAAGGGAATGGCATGGGCACGCTCCCTGAAGGGAAAGCCTGCCAGAACCTTCATTTTGAAGAGTTTTGAAGGCTGGGGGCTTGGGGGGATCTTGGGAAGGACAGCCAATAGAATATTCATCAGCGTTATGCTGATGCCCCTAAAGAAGACTTACTCCCTCAACTCCACCCACCCCTGGATGTGGCTGGCATGGACTGGATCTCTGCCATCTCCCTGAACAGGACGATTTAGACTGCTCACCCTCTGGTTGAGGAGTGCAAACCATTTACTCTTAAGTGTCTTTGGTTTAGGGAAGATGCAATTTAATGATGATGGGTTTTTAAAAGGTTTTATTTATTTATTTTTAGAGAGGGAAGGGAGGGAGAAAGAGAGAGAGAGAAACATCAGTGTGCGGTTCCTGGGGGCCATGGCCTGCAACCCAGGCATATGCCCTGACTGGGAATCGAACCTACAATGCTTTGGTTTGCAGCCCGTGCTCAATCCACTGAGCTATACCAGCCAGGGCCAAGTTTAGGGAGGATACAATTTATTAGGTAGCTGCCAACTGCTCAGCATCTAGGTTTACCACTTGGCTGCAAACTGCTTGTTTAAGGAACTGTCTCAGTTTCCCCTTTCCACTGGTCCTGGGTCACTAGCCTGTCTTATAACTTCCATCTCAGAGTCCGGCTCACCTGCTGGTGACTCAGAGCTAGAGACACCCACCCACGCCAGCCATTGTGGGAGCACTTGTCTGGGCCTGAAGTAGCTTGTCTTATGAAAGAAACAGACAGGATTGCATCAGGGAGGAAGAGGCCTGGGTGTCTGATACACCAGCTCCTGGGCAGGGGTTGGTGAGCTTGAGATGGGAGGTTGGCTTGAGATGAGATGATTTGGGGCCAGGACGCTTGTGTCCTTGCAGAGAACACTTTGTCCTGTGTCACCTACTGATTTGCTGATGACAGAGGATCTTCAGTGTCTGACCCCAGAAACCTAGAAATTCAGGTGGGATGCAGAAACTCCAGTGATGGGACAATCTGCAAAATTCATTCAGGGAGGCAGGCCCCCAGCCCTCCTCCCTCAGATCCAGGAGTCCAGGCCCCCAGCCCCTCCTCCCTCAGACCCAAGGGTCCAGGCCCCCAGCCCCTCCTCCTTCAGACCCAAGGGTCCAGGCCCCCAGCCCCTCCTCCCTCAGATCCAGGGGTCTGGATCCCCAGCCCCTCCTCCCTCAGACCCAAGAGTCCAGGCCCCCAGCCCCTCTTCCCTCAGACCCAAGAGTCCAGGCCCCCAGCCCCTCCTCCCTCAGACCCAAGGGTCCAGGCCCCCAGCCCCTCCTCCCTCAGACCCAAGGGTCCAGGCCCCCAGCCCCTCCTCCCTCAGACCCAAGGGTCCAGGCCCCCAGCCCCTCCTCCCTCAGACCCAAGGCCCCCAGCCCCTCCTCCCTCAGACCCAAGGGTCCAGGCCCCCAGCCCCTCCTCCCTCAGAACCAAGGGTCCAGGCCCCCAGCCCCTCCTCCCTCAGACCCAAGGGTCCAGGCCCCCAGCCCCTCCTCCCTCAGACCCAAGGGTCCAGGCCCCCAGCCACTCCTCCCTTGGACCCGGGAGTCCGGGCCCCCACCTGGAAGGACCACCTGATTGCATCACGAGTTCAGGCTGACCTGGCCACGGTGGAATCCTTGCTCCTGCCAAGTGGGTCAAATATCACAAGTCAGGTGAACGGATGGTGACTGGGCGGGTCTGTCAGGATATAAATTCCGCAGCTTCTGCATCTATCCCAAGATACTCGGGTGTCTCTCGGCTGAGAACCGACGTGCCTTTGCACCGCCTGAGCGGCAGTCCGCGCATCTGCTCCCTCAGACTGCCAGCATCTGCAACAGCATCTAGACCCTGCAGCGATTCGGACTGCAGGTTCCAGACCCGCCGGAGGACGTGAGCCATTGATGGGCAGAGACAAGACTGCAGTCCAGTGCCCGGGACTGTGGGTCCCTATGCTGGCTGTCCTGCTGGGAGCCTGCCAGGCCCTCCCCATCGCAGACTCCAGCCCCCTCCTCCAATTTGGGAGCCAAGTCCGGCAGCGGTACCTCTACACAGATGATGCCCAGGAGACGGAGGCCCACCTGGAGATCCGGGCTGATGGCACCGTGGCGGGGTCTGCCCGCCAGAGCCCCGAAAGTGAGTGTGGGGGCTCGGACTGGGCCCGAGGGGGAGGGGCCGGGGGCCTGGAGTGCTGGGGCCGGGAAAAGGGGGTCTGAGTCTCTGACCACTTTCTCCCCTCAGGTCTCTTGGAGCTCAAAGCCCTGAAGCCAGGTGTCATTCAGATCTTGGGGGTGGTGACCTCCAGGTTCCTGTGCCAGAGGCCAGATGGGTCCTTGTACGGATCGGTGAGTTCCCGGGATGGCCCTCTTCCACCTCTACCTTTTTCCCATCTCCTTCAGGACTGCCCCAGGCCAGCTTAGGGTCCACACCCTCTGCACGGCTGGACCTCACTGAAACCCGTGAAGGTGGGGCCATTGCCATCAATGTTTGCAAGAAGGGGAAACTGAGGCTCAGGCAACAACACCGCTGGCCCCAAGTCACGAGGCTACCGAATGGCACAGTGGCCTGAAAGACGGAGTCTTGGGTCTGGTGACCCTTGGTGACCCCACGGGCTTCTATGTGCTGGGCACGTGGTCACTCAGGGAACCTGTACTGTGACCACGGCCTTGGGGGGTGGGTGGCCAGACCCCACTGCTTGGTCTGGGAGAGCTTTGGCTGTTCGCTGGGCTGGAACGTTCCTCTTTATGAGATGGGGACAGGAAGTGGGCTTTGTAGAACTACCCAGGGGCATCCTAGAGGATGGGGTGGGAGGCCAGGACCCCCCAGGCAGGAGGTGTGGCGGTGTCTCTGATCTCTGGTCTCGTCCCCTCAGCTCTACTTCAATGCCAAGGCCTGCAGCTTCCGGGAGCTGCTTCTGGAGGATGGGTACAACATCTACCAGTCAGAGGCCCTTGGCCTCCCACTCCGCCTGGCCCCCCACGACTCCTCATCCTCGGACTGGCGCCACTGGGGACCCTCCCGCTTCCTGCCGCTGAAGGGCCTGCCCCCAGCGCCGCCGCCAGAGAGCCCAGGGGTCCCGTTCCCCGGCCCCCCAGATGTGAGCTCCTCCGACCCCCTCAGCATGGTGCGGTCCTCACTGGGCCAAAGCCCCAGCTATGTGTCCTGAAGCCTCAGGCCGCTTACGACTGCGTCTCCTCTTTATTTATTGGGTTATTTATCTTATTTATATTTTTACTTTTCTTACTTGGAATAATAAAGAGTATGAAAGAAAGATCAGAGTGAGCATGTGTGTGTTTGAGGAAAGAAACGGGATCTGCTTTCCCTTCCCCTGTTGACCCCCAAGGCCCCCTGGCTCCCATGGCTGAAAGGGTGTGAGAAAGTCCCAGCCTCCCCTTCACAGGGCCTCAGCTTTCTGTTCCCATGAGATGAGGTGTCTGTCCCCAGGGACCCTGGACTACCCCTGCCCTTGGACAGGACAGAGCTTATCCCCACCCATTTTACCCCCAACCTCCTGTTGGTGCTGTGGAACTGTTTCTCAGGGATACCACAATAATGGGATTCATTTTTAAACAGGGAACTATTTTTAATGACACTGAAGGCCCACAGCCTCTTGGGAGATGTAGTTTTCTGGGTTCATGTAGCACTAGAAATGGGAAAATATCTTGGTCCTCAGGGCTGGGGCAGGTCTCTTGGATCCTGGGGGTGTTATTGGTGCTAGGGTGGTACTCGTGGGTCCCGAAGGACCAGAGAGCTGGACATCTGGACATGGGAATCCCAGGAGAACTGGAGACTAGGAACCCGGACAGCCTAGTCTGAGGGAAGAAGGGCGGGCGGACGTGGGGGGGGCCAGCCATGTGGTCTGAGGATGGGAGACTGGAGATTGGGAATCCTGGGTCTCAGGAAGAGGACTTGAAGTTCCAAATGCTTCTGCCCACGTGCCCATGGGCTTTGGAGTATAATGACCATCAAGGACAGGCTTCGCCAGAGGGGAGCTTAGTCCAAACACCAAAAACAGCAGAGAACTAGGCAGTGTGAGAGCAGCACCATGGTCCATCGCTACGAGGCAATCGGATCATGGTACGTAGATGTATCATGGGGACAGGGTGCACGCCCCCTCCAGGGCAGAGGACCCATGGGGACACCAGCCTCCACAGAACCTTCCCCAGTTTCCTTCGCTGCCTGTGCTGGTGCTGGTTCTGCCCCACCCATGTGCGTTTTGGGGTTCATGGAGCTGCGTGGTCAGCGGCCTGAGTGGAAGATGTTCTCTGTGAACTTTTGCTCTTCTGCTTATTCCATGTGGGATTTTCAGGGGTGGGATTTAGGAGGATTAAGAAACTGTGCTGCTTCCTTAACTAAGTGGCTCAGTTGATTGGGTCATTGTCCCATAAACCAAAAGATCTCCAGTTCGATTCCCCATCAGGGCACATGCTTGGGTTGTGGGTTTGATTCCTAGAAGGAGTGTACTTGGGAGGCAACCAACTGATGTTTCGTTCTCTCTTTTTCTCTCTCTCTCCTGCCCTCCCTCACTCTATTTTTCTTTCATATATATATATAACTATGCTGCCCTGGGTGGTGTGGCTCAGTGGATTGAGCACTGGCCTGTGAATCAAAGGGTCACTGGTTCAATTCCCAATCAGGGCACATGCCTGGGTTGTAGGCCAGGTCCCCAGTCAGGGGGCATGTGAGGGACAACCACACATTGATGTTTCTCTCCCTCTCTTTCTCCCACCCCTCCCCTCTGTCCAAAAGAAATAAATAAAATCTTTTAAAAAATAGCTATGCTTTTTAACTTGACTGTAATAGCAAGGAAACATCAAACAAATTCCAACAAAGGGGCCTGCCGCCAAACAACTGACTCTTGACTCTTCAAAAATGTTAATGTCAAGAAAGAAAAAGACAGAGGAACTATTTCTAAGAACAGAGACCAGAGAGACAGTTGCACCAAATGCCGTTGGTGGGGGGGACCCATTTCCTGTCCTGGACATTCGTACAGCACTCAATGACATTTGGATGCCTTCTGTCCATGAGACAGTAGTAATGTATCCATGTTGAAGTTTCTGATTCTATCATCGTATTGTGATTAGTACGAAGAATGTCCTTGCCCTTAGCAAATACACACCCACATATTCAGGGACAAAGGGACGTGGTATTGCCAATGTTATATCAAATGATCCTGGAAAAGTAAACATAAAAAGATAGTGAGCAAACACTAGTGCAAATGGGTGCAGGAATGGCGAGAATTGGGGGACCTGGGTAAAGAATACACGGACGTCTTTGTACAAGGCATGACATTTTCTGTAAGTTCAAAATTACATCAAGTGAAATTAGATAACATTGCAGCCCCCTCAGAATGCAGGGAAGAGCTTATAAGAAGCAGGAGAAATCTCTAGGTACCCCACCCCAATCAAAGGAAGGAAGGAAGGAAGGAAGGAAGGTAGGAAGGAAGGAAGGAAGGAAGAGAAAAGGAAAGAAGATGGGAAGAAGAGCAGAAGGGAACGGGACAAGAGGGAAGAAGAAACCCTGAGAAAGAGGTGGGACTCGGAGTAGAGAGAGGGAACTGACCTGCAGTTTCCCGGGCCAGGAACCTGCGTCTCAAGGCTAAGCCCCAAAGGTCACCACTTCGGTGCATGGCAGGTGGTTAAAACCCTGCCAACCTGGATCCAATGGGATGTTATTCCACCTTAAAAGGGAAGGAAATTCTGCCCTGGCCGATTGGCTCCATTAGCTGGAGCGCCTCCCATAACTAAAAGGTGGCAGGTTTGATTCCTGGTAAGGACATGCCACTAGGTTGTGGGTTCAATCCCTGGTCCCAAGCATATAGGGGGAGGCTATGGATCGATATTTCTGTCCCTCCTATCCTCTCTCTAAAAGCAATTTTTAAAAATGTCCTTGGGTGAGGATTGAAACAACTGTTTGCAAGTAAGAATAATTTCTTTTTTTTTTAAGGGAATTCCGATGCATGCTGCCGCATGGATGACCTTGCAAACATTCCGCTAGCCCCGACATGTGCGTGTCCATTCGCTGGAGCATCGACCGGAATGCTGGAAAGGATACAGTTTTCATTCCCAGTCAGGGCAGCATGCATGTCTGGGCATGGGGAGGGCTCGGCCCCAGATGGGGCACGTACATACGGGAGGCAACCAGTCAATGCTTCTTTCTCACATCAATGTTTCTCTCCCTCTTTCTCTCCCTCTCTCTCTCTCCTTCCTTTCCCGTCTCTAAAATCATCAATAGGCACATCCTCTGGTAAGAATAAACACACGCATGCACACACACATTTTGCTAAGTGAGAGAAAAGAAACCAGACACACATGGACAGAGACTGTATGAGTCCATTTACAAAGAAGTATCTAGAGCCCTGGCTGGTGTGGCTCAGTGGACTGAGCACCAAGCCTGAGAACCAAAGTGTCACTGGTTCGATTCCCAGGCAGGGCATCTGCCTGGGTTGTGGGCCAGGTCCCCAGTGGGGGGCATATGTGTGTTGTTTCCCTCTCTTTCTCTCTCCCTCCCTTCCCTTCTCTCTAAAAATAAATAAACAAAATCTTTAAAAATATTATAACATTTTTTAAAAAGAAGTATAAAATAGAAATAAAAATAGGAAGTAGAATGGTGGGTGCCAGGGGCTGGGGGAAGACGAGGGATGGAATGCAGTTGAATGGGCACAGAGTTAGGATTTGGGAGGAGGAAAAAGTTCTGCAGATGGGTGACGGTCATGTAACAGTGTGAATGTATTTAATGCCACTGAACTGTATGCTTAACATTGGTTAAAACAGGCCCTGACAAAGCAAAAGGTCGCCAGTTCGATTCCCCATTTCCCCATCAGGGCACACACAAGAGGCGACCGATCAATGTTTCTCTCTCATATGCATGTTTCTCTCCCTCTCTTTCTCCCTCCCTTCCCCTCTCTCTAAAATCAATAACTGAGTACTAAAAATTAAAAGCTTTAAATTTTAAAAATGCCTAAGATGGTAAATGTTATGTGTGTATCTCACCACACGCACACAATCCACCAAACTGCGCTAAGAAAACTTCGGGAGGACCCCCTGTCACCGTTTGGGCTCTGGGTGGGGAAAATGTGACCCTCCTTCTGTTGAAAGCCGTGTAGCCACGGCACCACCTCATGTGCACCGCGTGCCCGAGTCTGGGAACCCGAGGGAATAGCGGTGGGACTAGTGATCGCCCCAGGGCTTCCGGCCAAAGCAAAGGTCTCTCTGGAGAGGTGCCACTCAACTCAGATATTGCAGGGGAGTATTGGATGAGTTCATACTCCAAAGTCACAGACAGAGTTTACACAGAGCCCAGGTGCGTGGCATGTGCCAGCAGAACCGTTGAGCAACGCTGGACAGCCCCGCCTAGCAACGACGGCAGTGTGGAACAGGCAGGGCGAAAATGACGGTGCGAGATTTCTTTTTAATCCTCACTCGAGGATTTGTTTTATCGATTTTAGAACAAGAGGGAGAGGCAGAGAAAGAGAGAGACATCGATGTGAGAGAGAAACGTCTATTAGTCACCTCCCATACGTGCCCCAACTAGAGATCGAATCCGCGACTTTTGGAGTGCCAGAAGATGCTCCAGCCACCTGAGCCACCCGGCCAGGGCCCCGTGTCTGTGAGATATGTGTATGAATTATCTTCTTTGCAGAAGTGTCTCCTCAAGTCCCTTGACAATTTTTAAAATCAGGTTATTGGCTTTGGTTGTGGTTGAGTCGCAAAAGTTCCTTTGTATATCCTGGCCATTAATCCCTCATCAAATATATGATGGCAAATATTTTCTCCCACTCCATTCTTTGATTTCTAGTAAAAGTTTTAAATTTGGATATAGTCCAATTTACTTATTTTTACTTTTGTTGCCTGTGATGTTGCTGTTCCAGCCTAAAAATCATTACTAAATCTAATGGCATGAAGCTTTTTCCCTCAGAGAAGCTTTCTTTTAAGAGCTTTAGTTTTAGGTCTTACATTTAGGTTGCTGGTTGCATTTGAGTTAATTTTTGCATAACATGTAAGATAAGGGTCCCCTTCATTGTTTTTTAAAAAGATTTTATTTATTTATTTTTAGGGGAGGAAGAAAGAGAGAGAAACATCAATGTGTGGTTGCCTCTCACCGGACCCCCCACTGGGGGCTTGGCCCACAACCCAGGCATGTGCCCTGAGTGAGAATCAAACCAGCAACCCTTTGGTTCGCAGGCTGGCGCTCAGTCCACTGAGCCACACCAGCCAGGGTCCCCTTCATTGTTTTACATGTGGGAAAACATGTTTTTCCAGCACTGTCTTTTGAAA